TCTATTGCACGCTTTGCTCTTGGATGTGTGGGCTTTAAATGGCCACCTGTTTAGGACCCAAAGCAGGGTTTGGAGAGTGATGGGGGAGCTGTGTCTACACTCCTGCTGGAATACTGGGCGAAACGCAAGGCTGCCTGGGGAAGCGGGGTGCAGAGCCGCCGGAGCCAGCGGGAGGAGAGGCCCCAGGCAGAAGTGAGACCAGGAAGGAAGAGGGGCGTGCGGCAGCGATGAGAAGGGAAGACGCATGGAAAAGAGCCCAGGGTGCTTTTCCCAAGCCAGCCACGGCGGCGACCCCGTGTTAATTTAAAGGGTCAGTGTCAGGAAATGGAGGGCCGTTCCCCACAGACCCCATTGTGTCCTTGGAGAGGGTTCGTGTCCAAGAACAACAAATTCCTTCACTGTGAATCGTGCATCACCACGAGGCTCTGGCTTCCCGACTTCCTTGGAAGAGTTTCCGAATTGCTGGACCCTAATTTTCAAATGACACGAGGGGTCATCAAAAATGTATGCACGGATTTCTCTCTCTCTCTCTCTCTCTCTCTCTCTTATCTGCACAAGCGTAAGCTTACCGTTGAGTTCCAGTTTTCCATGAACGTTTTGCAGTGTTCTTGTCCATCCGGGCACCCACACACGAGCCAGAGTGACAGCAGTCAGGGTGGGGTCGTTGCAGCCACCAGCGTCTGGCTCTGGGCGGCATGGAGTGGTGGCCCCAGTGACGGCTTTGGATGCCGCGTGCTGAGGAGTCGGAGCTACAGGACCGGGCCTGGAGGGCCACACCATACTGCTTGCCGAGAGGTGCCAGGGGGTGATGACGGGGCAGCTGTGGCTCAGTCAGAAGCAGCCTGGACTTGTGCCCGCCCTGGTATCCATGCTGCAGAGGCTTTGGCTAGGAGCTGAGCCGAGGGCCTGGGGCCGAGGGGGTTCCTGGCGGTGGAGAGCTGCTGGGCTAGGTCCTGGAGGACAGCCTCCCGGGACCCCACCCTGGGGCAGGACGGGAGCACGTGATGGGCTGACGTCAGGACAGGAGAGTAGCCTGGGTGGAGTTGGGTGCTCAGGACCCAGACCCCAGAACGGGCCGGCATGGGCTTCCCGTGGGCTGGTGCCACCTTGCACAGCACAAAGAGGACTTGGGCCCACGGGGGTTCCCCCGGGGGTTCCCCTGGCTGCCATGCATTGGTGGGCCCCAGCCTTGGGGGGACCATTGTCCCTGGCTGGCTCTGCTGCCATCCTCTCAATGCAGTTTCAGATTCTACGGTTCCCGTCACCTTCAGCCACCACAGGGTGAAAACAGCACATGGAGAATTCCAGAAAAGCACATTTGTATGTTTTCAGTAACCTGTCCTGTTTGGATCAGTTACTGATGCCCCTGTCCTGCGACGCCCACTCTGTGACTCTCCCTGGGTCACAGGGCTGCACGTGGAGCAGGGCAGGGTCGGCAGAGGCCACTCCCCTCCGGGGCTTCAGGCTTGGGGGTGGCAGGAACACACCCTATGCAGTGTGGGGATGTGGGGTGCTCTACCCGGGTGACCTGTCGGGGGGACGATCGGCTGCCTTTAGAGGCCCTAAGGCAGAGCCCGTTTGACCAAACGTGTTTCCCGGGTGAGCCGAGGACAGACGCTGGGTGCCCTCACGTCTTGTCTGATAGAAGCTGCATGGTGCCAAGTGCAGAGATGATGGCAGTAGCTCCGGCTGGTACAGTTTATTCCACATGTGACGTCGCATCTGCTTTAAAAGGTCACAGGTCAACTAGGGACCAAGGGTCAGAGTCATCACCTGCACCCCCGTGCAGAGTTAGCCCTGGGGAACTGGTTCTTCCGGGTAGCCGCTCCAGGACGCTGGGTTCCTGGCCGCTCCCCTCCCTCCTCTGCCCCACGGCTCCGCCTCTCCCAGGGCCTGGGCGGGAAGCTCCTTCACCTGGATCAGGGTTCTCATTTTCTCCTGCGGCTTCATTGTCACTGCCATGCATCAGTCACAGCGCCGAGTGCAGGCTTCCATCAGGCCCTGCTCTGCACGCTGCTCCCCACCCCCCAAAACCAGCAGGCGTCACCTGTGCCTTCACGTCCGGCCCGACCAGCGCCAGCCCCTCGTTGTCCCAGCCAGACGGTCACGGGCTCGCCTGAGGGTGGTCCTCCCAGCGGGCTTTGCTCGTGCCCCTCCTGGTGTCCTGTCCAGCGGCCGCCAGCAGGGCCTGACCGCGTGCACTGTGGGCCCCTCCCTCCGTGCCTGCCGTGGCCCCCATCCCGGCGAGGTCCCTAGGCGGGACCTGGGCGGTGGTCCCCGTGAGTCTCCCCCGACCACAGCCCGGTCTCATCAACTGACCGGTGCTGAGAAAAGTCTGCATTTCGTGTTCACAGCCAGGTCCAGTGTGCACACTTCCTTTATTCTCTGCTGCTCCTCTGCGCGAGGCTGCCGGACACCTGTCGCCCCGTGGCTTCCTCCCCACAACCCGAGGCGGGGGGCGCCGTCCCTGTCCGCCTTCTCTGAGCAGCCAGGGCCCCTGCCACGTTCGGGGCAGCCAGCAGGGTCCTTCCAGCTCACCCAGGCCTTTCTCCTCCAGAGGAATGTTCTCCAGCATTCTCCGCACTCCCCACCCACTCCTACTTGTTGTGATTTTGTTTTCATTTCACGAATGTTTTGCTTTCTCTGTTAGATTGTAAATATTTTGAAGACAGACGTGTCCTAACTCTCTAACCACAATCCCTATGCTAATTCTGAAAAAAGCATTTCTCTGGTTTATTCAATTTCTTCAGTTTTATGCTTGGCATAACAAAAAATATCTCGTCGTGTTTTCCATGTAAATAGATTTATTAAATAGAGGGACGTGTAAAATGTGGTGGATTATTAGTGCTTAAACGCAGGGACAGCGTGGTGTCATTGGAGGAATTTTTTGGAAAACCTATCGGATGAAATTCTTGAATTTCAGCGCTCAAGTCCGTCTGTTTCTGGACGCACATAGGTTGCCCCAGTCTCCTGGGAGAGGCAGACCTCTGGAATGGGCCAGCGGATGTGCAAGTGTGGTGAGAACCTGAGGCGCTATGGGCAGGTGAGAGACTGTTATTAGTGGTAGGATTTCCTAACACGAGCGAGAGCCACGGGGAGGAGAGCAGCACGCACGGGCAGATAACGTGCAGACAGCAAGAGCTCATCTCTGCCGGAGCCGCGGCCAGCACGGCGTCCTCTCTCTCTCTCGTCCGATCCTCCTTCTGGGAGTGACGCGCGTTGCCAAGATCCGTGATTTGTGCGAACGAACGGTGCATTTGTTTCCGTGGTCTCGGTGCTTGTTGACGGGGGCTGGAACGCGTTTCCACGGCCTGCTGGCAGCCCGCGCTTTATTGCTCTGTGTTGGGAAGTTAGCCGAGCATCGCATGGAATCGACAGCATAGACTGTTGGGGCGCTCTCTATTTTATTCACTGTTTAAAAAGTTGAAGTTAGTTGTTTGCTTAATACCCCAAGCTGATGAGGCATTTCATTATCTCACCACTAATACACTCTAGAAAACGTACTCATTAGAGGACAGAAGGCATTGAAATGTAAACACGTGAATAATTTACACTTTCAACTGGTGTTAAATAAAAAGGTTTTAATCTAGACACAGATCTGACAATAAATATTCATTTCTAATTTCCAGTGAGTAAACTTTATCTCTTTTTAAAAGCCTTTTCACTTGATTTTTTTCCCCTGGAAGAGAATGGCAAATTTGACATGCGCACATCTGGGAATCGATTTCCCTCTGGTCAACACAGCCATGAAGAGCTATTATGAAAATCAAAATTTGAAATAATTGCAAGCGTGGTAATTGGTCATTTTGGGATTGCGGTGTGCTGCGACCCACGAGGCTCACCTTGCTGGTGCAGGCGTCCCGGGGGACACAGCCAGGAGCACAGGAAAGGGGCCGCCTCTGCACCTGCTGCCCTGGCTGGACGCTTGCCAGGCCCGAGAGAGGCGCCCACCCTGCGGGCAGGAGTCAGCGTCCCCTGCCCGGCCCGCACCCCGTGGGCCTGAATGTGAGGAAGAGTCGGGAGCTACGCCTGTGGAAGGACGTGCTTCGGCCACCCCCACACCTGCTGAGTCGGGGCCTGCCTGCGCCCCCAAGGCCATCACAGCCCACAGCTGGCACTGCTCCTACTGGTGGCCCTGCCACGAGCGACGTGGACCATGGCTACTGTTCCATTTGCCCTTTGTTTGTCCATAGGAAACGTTTGGGGTATTTTAGATTTGTTCATTTATTCCTCCGGGCCATTAGCAGGGGGTTGGATGCAGAGAGGAGCAGCTGGGAGGGGAAGTGGTGCCCAGGGGACCTAGCTTCACCTGCTAGGGCGCAGCGCCAGCCCCTCCACTTGTCCTTCTAATTAAAAAAAAACAAAAACCTTTTTTAAAAAGTGCTTATTTGAGAGGCAGAGTTACAGACAGGGAGGGAGAGATGAGAGAGAGAGGTCTCCTATCCTGGATCCAAGAAGAAGCCTGAGTGTCCAGCTCTGGACGCGATTTCTTGGCAACTCTTAGTTTCGGTGTTGTCCAGCTGTCTCAGCTGACCTGGTTCCCTCCTGCAGAGGCCGGCGGTGCCTCTGCTGGCCAGGCCACTCCTGCCTGGCTCTGTCTCAGCCTGGCTTCACGCACCAAGGAGGCGCTGGCTCTCAGCCCTCCTGCCCTTTGCCCCTTGCTCTCACCAGCACCTGAATTTGCTGCCTTTGTCCATGCCATGACTTCAGCCCCCTCTGCCTGGGGTCAGGCCCTTCCTGGGCCAGGCTTCGGTGATGAGCTGCAGGGTGCTGACTCCCGGCCCACAGTACCCTCAGGCCGGGCTGTGGTCACAGGGACCCAGGAGAGGACTGCACCTTCCCCGAGGCTTTTCCCCCTAAGCATGTGGGTTGCTCGCGTGGCCAAAGAATGTTTCCATTATTTGAGTCATAGCATTTCTGTTCTCAAAACTGTGCAAAACGAATTTCCCAAAGAACTTCTTCTTCTGACTGACAAACTTGTGTCCATATTCCAACACCAGATTATAAACAGATGCAAAGTCTCAGGACATCTCCAGAGGGGCCATTTACAAGACCTCACTCGAAAAGCGATGTGTTGCTACCAAGAATTACGCCGTTTTCAAGGCTATTCAAGACTGGCGGGTCAAACCCCCACGTAACTGATCAAATGCTGCTGCCGAGGGCCGTTGTGAGTTGCCTAAAGCTGATGAACATACATCAAAAGATCTTTTAATTCAAAAATTGATTATTAAAACCACATTCTCTAAATTCTCCATTGATACTTGTTTTAATAAGTAAAATTGCTTGATCTTTATTTTTGTGCTAAAATCTATTTTCTCAAGCCGAGGGGATACATAATAGAAGTGTGTTGGTCCTAATAGATAAAAACCAGCCGTAATCTTGTGAATCAGCCACAGTCCGCGCAATTAGCAAAGAAGGAATTCTATCCACAGAAGCCACAATGAATCAAAATGGGGACAATATAAGTAAAAATAATACAGAACCTATAGTAGAAAACTGAAATTTTTCCCCCCAGAAGTCTCGAACAAATAGCCATACTGCATTCTGGATGGACAGACTGGGCGTGGCTGTGTTTGCGCTTTCTGTCTTGGGTTGTGGGGTTTTCAGGACGTTTCAGAGCGTCGTCTGTCTATTCCATCAGCAACTGACGTCTCCGCTGGCGCTGCTGCAGTCACGCACCGTCTCGTGTGGTTTTTAATTTCTCTGCGCTGTTTCCTGAAACCCAAACAAAGAACACGATATGAAACCCAAACAACAAAACGAACAGCAGAGAGACCCTCATTAAACCCCAAAATGCGGGTAGGGGTGCCCCTTTGGCCTCAGCAAAGGCGAAGTGTGTGGGGTGCAGCGCTGAAGGGGCCGTTGGCCGGCCCTGTGCTCTGTGCAAGGAGCAGGCACCTCCCTCTGCTGGTGCAGCTGTGGACGCGGCCAGCTGGGCTGAGAGAAGCCTTCTGAGGCTCCCAGACACTGAGCCCCAGCAGGTGTGTCCGGGGGCTGGAGCCTCACTCTGGAGGGGAGACGCCAGATTGAGCAGAGCAGGTGCGGGAGGGGCAGTGGGGAAGGGCCCTGCGGTGCAGGGGGAGGCTCGAGGGAGCCCTGTCTGGGGAGAATCACCACAGCTGGACCCCAAGCCCCCGGGACCAAGGCCTGCAGCAGGGCAGGAAGCTCTGACCACGCTTGCCCTGGGGCAGCCGAGTGGCTGCTCAGAGGCCACAACCTGGGCCATTCCTGGTAACCGTGGAGCCTGGAGGCCTCACTGCTGTCCCGTCCCGTCAAACCCCATGCAGAGGAAACCTGCTCCTGATACACTAGAAAAAAATGTTCCATTTAAGCAACATAAACATGGATAACCTTAAAAGGAATGTGATTAAACACCAAGTTTTAATTATTTATCTTAAAGTCAGATGACAGAGAGAGAGATATCTTCTATCTGCTGGTTCACTCCCTAAGTGGGTGCAATAGCCCAATCTGGGTCCGCCCAAAGCCGGGATCCAGGAACCACACTGGTGTCCCATTTGGGTGGTAGGGGCCCAGGTACTTGAGCCATCATCTGCTACCTTCCCAGGGGCTTGAATAGGAAGCTGCACTGGGTGCAGAACAGCTGGGACTCGGATTGTCACTCTGATGTGGGCAGCCAATGTGGCAGGTGGTAACTTAACCCACTGTGCTGCAACACCGGCTCCCCATGACATACTTGACAAGAGACACAAATATACACTCAAATATATAACACGTAACAGTGACGCACCAGGAAATGCAATGACAGGGATGAAACAATGTATTATTAAAAATTAGCTGAACTTAATAGAGATACTGATTGGAAATTTGAAAGAATAGCACAAAACAGAATTACGAGATCTGAGAAATGGAACAATGCGAAATGGAGGATATGAGACATCAGAAAGGCAGTGACAAAAATCACAAAAATGTAGATGACATAGACATTTCAGAAGTAGAGATTTAACCAGAAGAAAAGCAATAATGAATGTGAACACAGAAGACTCAGGTAAGAAACAGGATATAAAAGAAAAATGTCAAGAAAACATAATGAAAATTTGAAAAGTTGAAAAGAAATGATATGGAAAGAAGACAAAGAAGATCCAAAATACATTTAATTGGTGTCTCCAAAGGTTAAAAATGGAAGTGAAAGAATAAAATAGAACTATCAGTTTTAATCTAATAAAACTTCCCGCGGTGCATTGGTGAGCAAGTTGACCCGTGATGGGAAGTCCCATGGGAGACCCCTCAGACATGCAAGCATCCCTGGAGAATCCAGGGAAAGTCTGAATGACTTAGGATCGAAAGCCAGACGGTCACCAATGTTGTCGGCAGGCAGCACACCTTTAAAGATTACAAAGAAAAGAAAAATGACTGGAGGATTTCACTCCCGAGCCAGCTGTCCTCAAATATGGAGGTAGGGACGCGGGGGGACTCAGCTGCTGGGAGCCCGTGCGCCTGCCTCCTCTCGGATTCCACTAGAGAACTGGCTCCCGCCCGTCAGATCGCAGTGAGAAAAGTCCAATGTGAGTGTCAGAGAAGCCGTGGAATAGGTGTGGCTGTAGAACTGAGATGGAGAAAGGGCGTAGGGTGGGACACTCCCGTGTCTCCTGCGCCCTGGTGGTGTGGAAACCGTCCACGAAACAACGCAAGTGCCCAGGGGAGAGTGTGGAGAAGCCAGAGGAACCTCACCAGTGGCTCCACACGCATCAGCTAAGAGAAAATAATTCTGCCTGCAGCCGACAAATCAAGCAGTAGAATCCTTCGTATGGGGGCCGGCGCCGTGGCACAGCGAGTTAATCCTCCGCCTTCACTGCCAGCATCCCATATGGGCGCTGCGCTGATTTGTGTCCCGGCTGCTCCTCTTCCGATCCAGCTCCATGCTGTGGCCTGGGAAAGCAGTGGAAGTTTGCCCAGGTGCCTGGGCCCCTGCTCCCACGTGGGAGACCAGGAGAAGCTCCTGGCCCCTGGGTTCAGATTGGCGTAGCTCCGGCCATTGCAGCCACTGGGGGAGTGAACCAGTGGATGGAAGACCTCTCTCTCTGTCTCTCCCTCTCAACTGTCTGTAGCTCTGCCTCTCAAATAAATAAATAAAATCTTTTCTTTTAAAGAATCCTTCGTATGTCAGCAGTACAGAGATGACACCAACACTGGTGTCCAGTAGCAGGAGGTGAGGAAGAGGAGGCGGAGGGCAAGAAAGTTGCTGGCTAACGTCTGTTCCCAACAGAGAGCCGGCATACTGGGTAAAATTTAAACACAGAAAATGGTTGGATTTTCTCACTCCTCACACGTACAATACAAGTTATGCGTTTGTAAGATAAGTCATGTTGCTTTCTTTTTTGAAAACATTTATTTGAAAGACAAAGCTACAGAGAGCAGGAGACAGAGAGAGCTTCCATCCTCTGGTTCACTCCACAGGGGGCCGGGCCCGGCTGAAGCCAGGAGCTGCTTCTGGGTCTCCCACATGGGTTCAGGGGCTGAAGCACGTGGGCCATCTGCTGCTTTTCCCAGGCCATTAACAGGGAGCTGGATTGGAAATGGAGCAGCCGGGACACGAACCGGGGCCCATATGGGATGCTGGCCTTGTAGGTGGCAGCTTAACCCATTAGGCCACAACGCTGGCTCCAGTCATTTTGTTTTCTACCGGGTACCTTAGGGCCTGATTCTCTTGCAAAGTCTGGATTGAGATTGCTGATAAACATAATCAAAGAAGAGACCAAGGCTGCTACACAAAGATATTGGTAACAAAAGAAGCAGTATAAGAAACATCTAAGCCTTCCCAAACACAACAATAAATTTCTTCTAAATTTTTCCTGACATCTGTCATCTCATTCCAGACATCCCATAACTTCCGTCTGTTCCTCCATTTCATTATACAGGATCCTGAAGAGAAAGGTCCCATAGTAGAAGGCTTTGTGTGCACGTGGGTGTGTATTACAACATGTACACACACGCGTGTGTCTACAAGCGTGTAAGTAACCACACGTGTCTAGAGCACTATGTGAGGGACACAGCAGTAAACACAGGAACTCTGCCTTTCAAATCAAATCTTTTTAAAAATTGTAACAGGTGTCTGAGTGGTTAACAAAGGGAAAATCATCTCAGCGCTGTGTCCAAGACATGCACCTGCCGCACGTCCTTGAGCTAGGGAAATAGAGGGCTGGGCAGAGGCAGGCACTCACAGAGAGCAGGGGCTGCGTTTGTGTAATAGATAAGGTGGGACTCAGACCAACAGCATTAACGGGGAAAAAGGAGAACATACGTTACAATGCTGAAAGCCACAATTCACAGTGAAGGTGTGCTAATTATGAGTTACCTACGCACTAGATCACGCAGAAGCAGCCTCACATACGAAACAGAAACCACAGGAGAGCAGAGAAGAAAGAAAGACACACTAGCACAGGAGAGAGAGGGACTGATGGGACCCCAGGTCCGGGCCAGAGGCGGCTGCAAGCGGAGGGAGTGGCTGCCACAGTCCAGTGGTATGCAGCAGGCTTCAACAGTGACCTGTGGGGGAGGGGTGGTGGCGTGTGGGATGAGCCGCCCTGGGGACGCCTGCAGCCCGTATCCGGTGCTGGTTCGAGTCCCAGCTGCTCCCAGCCAATCCAGCTCTCTGCGAGTGCCCTTGGGAAGCAGCAGGTGATGGCTCAAGTACTTCAGTCCATGCCGGCTGTGTAGAAAACCCAAATGGAGTTCCTGGTCCAGCCCTGGCTGTGTGGCCATTTGAGGAATGAACCAGCGGATGGAAGATAGATATTTCTCTCTCTCTGCTTTTCAAGTAAATAGATAAATCTTTTTAAAATGTAGTGAATATGGGAGATTTGGTAGCTATAAATCAAATTCTGTACCCCATAATAGGGAACACACCTTCTTCTCCAGTACATATTTACAAAAAATGGACCATATACTTGTATCAGGCTACAATGAAAACCTCGATACATTCCAAAAAATGTAAGTCAAACAAACCACCCTCACAGATTAAATGCAATAAAAATAGGAATTATTCAGAAAATAAAACACAAACGGGCACTGCAACCTGAAGAAACAAAACCATCTATTTAAAAACTCTTAGGTCAAAGGGAAAATCAACAAAATGGCAGAATTTCTAAAATTGTAATAAGGAAAATGTAGTGTATCAGAGGCTGTGGGATACATCTAGACTTAAAGAATCATATTATTACGTAGCTGTATCACCAGAAATGGAAATAAATGAATTACATCTTAGGAAACTTCAAAAAAAATCATTGAAAATAGAATTAAAAGATGAGTTCATTTTTGGTGCAAAAGCTTTGGAATATGAACACATGAGTGGTCTTGAATTCCACCAAAAACGTCCATTATAAAAACTCAGTCATGGATTTAAATATCTCTTGCACCAAAATAAACATCTCTTAAACCAGTTTTTCACAAACGTTTTGAAATACTCGCATATAGAACCCAAAAGGTAGACATGAACAGATGGAGCCAACAGCAACTCATAAAGTGCCTGGCGTTCTGGAGTTGGGTAGGGAGACACAGGCGCCCTCCTACCACGGCTGGGGCAGTTCACACTGCGGGAGGAATCTGCATCGCGGGCGTGGTGGGAGCTGAGGGAGCTGGGTCTGCGTGTTCGGAGACTTTTCCCTTTCTCTTGTAGATACTGGTGCTTGCCAGTTTTGTGCATTTTCTCTAGCCAATTGTAGAACTCTCAGAATTTTGCAAAACAATCCTGTCCATTTAATCAGAAGTTATTTTAAATTTATTGGTCCAAAGTTGCTCGCTGTATTATCTCAGGAATTGGCACCGTGCGTGCAGTTGTGTGGTTTTATGATTACTAAGGTTCTTTGTTTCCTTTCTTGTTCCTTGAGCAGACTTTCAAAGTCTTGGCTAACTTTATTGGTCTTTTCCAAGAATACTTTTGTCTCTGCTGTTCAAATCTACTCTGAGTGTTGACGTGTTTTATACTTTGTTAATTACTTCTTAACTTTCTCCTTTTCGTGTTGTGAAAACAAAACACAGGGAAAGTGAGAAACAAAAGACCAGCCTCACTCTGTGCCTGGCTACGAACTTGGACTTCCCAACACCCAGGACTTCCTACAGTCCCCCAGCCTCTTCCCCTCTCCAGAGGAAACCGGTTTTCTGACTTCTGCGATAACTTCTTTGCTTTTGTCCGCGCTCCTAGACAGCATAGTTTAATTGCTCCTGATTTTGATTTTGTTTTCCTTTTTTTGAACTTTGGGCTTGGCGTCATCCTGGTGGCTCCTTTTATCCTTCCCAGGTTTGACTCAGCATCGTTGTGTGCTGGTTTGCTTCTGGTCTTCGACTCTAGAAATCACAGTGGATTTGTCTGCTCTGTGGAAGTTTTGCTGTTTGACTGCTCTGCGTGGTGTGGCTCTGTGCTCTCTCGTTCGTTGTCCCGGTGGGGATGTGTGCGTGAGCTTCTCCAGGGTCTTTACCTCCAACGAGAGCTAAAGATGGACCACTGGGCCCTGTTTCTGTTTCAGCCTCCTAAGTGATGCCAGTGGGATCTCAACACAGGTGGCCCCTGGCTCCCAAGACACCTGCCAATCCCCCAACTAGGAGGGCAGTGATTCTAGTGTTGGGGGCTTGGCTGATCTCTCTGAGTCTGCACTGGCATTTGCTACGTTATTGATAATTCTTCCATTCAGTTAAGGAGCTTCAAAGTTCTCCACTGTTTTTGGTTGATTTTAGGGGAAGGGTTGGTCCAGATAACTTCATGTATGATTCTAGAAATAGGAGTCTGCTTCCATCGGTAAGGATTTCTTTTTCCTATTTACTTGAGAGCTGCTGAGTTATCTTTCTGACTTCTTGAACCGAATGCTTAGTTCCTTTACTTTTAGTCTTTTTTCTCCGAAAATGTGCTCAAAGCTTCACATATCCTCTGAGGGCTGTTTTGCCTGTGCCCATGGCTTGGGATGTGGAATATTCTCATTTTTAAGCTATTTTCTCTTGCATTCATGAGTTTTTCAGAGCTTCTGCCCCATATTTTTGAGTAGGTTGACGTTTTGGGGCCATCTTTCTGTTATTCATTTCTAGTTCTGTTGCTTTGGGTTTAGAACATGCGTTTTCTGTGATTTCTACTTCTGTGCAATCTATGGAGTTTTCTTTATGCATTAAAACAGTGGAAATATTTTCAAGTAAACCTTCCACAAGTGTATAAAAAAAAGCATAAATTCACGGACAAAGCTCTCTTTGTGGGTTTTCAGTCAAGCATTTAAGTTTATTTTTTTTTACAAAGATTTATTTATTTATTTGCAAGTCAGAGTTACACAGAGAGGGAGAGAGGAAGGGGGAGGGGGAGGGGGCGGGGGAGGTCTTCCATCTGCTGGTTCACTCCCCAGTTGACCGCAAAGGCTGGACTGGGCTGATCTGAAACCAGGAGCCAGGAGCTTCCTCTGCGTCTCCCACGTGGGTGCAGGGGCCCAAGCACTTGGGCCATCTTCTACTGCTTTCCCAGGCCACAGCAGAGAACTGGATTGGAAGAGGAGCAGCCGGGACATGAACCAGCGCCCATATGGGATGCTGGCGCTTCAGGCCAGGGCATTAACTCACTGTGCCACAGGCACGGCCCCTAAGTTGATTTTCTAATTTTCTGTCTTACTCCTTTGTCCCTTTGCCATTTTTCAGGTCCCTTAACGTTCTCACCCTGTGGCTGCTTCTTCAGCTTTAATATTCTGTCACATATTTACACTTTGTATTTATTCCATTAGAGTACTTACATGTTTACATACTTTATGCATTTGACAATGGACTATAAGTCTGTCCTGCATGCTTTTTTATGTATTTTAATGTTGCATTGTTCCATGTGTAGAGCTGACAGTGTTAACCAGGAAGGACTGCCCCCCCCTTTTTAACTTTTATTTAATAAATTTAAATTTCCAAAGTACAACTTCTGGATTATAGTGGCTTTTTCCCCCTATAACCTCCCTCCCACCCACAACCATCCCATCTCCCACTTCCTCTCCCATCCCATTCACATCAAGATTCATTTTCAATTATCTTTACCCAGAAGAAGATCAATTTAGTATATACTAAGTAAAGATTTCAACAGTTTGCACCCACACAGAAATACAAAGTATAAAGTACTATTTGAGTACTAATTATGCCATTAATTCACATAGTACAACACATTAAGGACAGAGATCCTACATGGGGAGTATGTGCACAGTGACTACTGTTGTTGATTTAACAATTGACACTCTTATTGATGACGTCAGTAATCACCTTAGGTTCTTGTCATGAGCTGCCAAAGCTATGGAAGCCTCTTGAGTTCGCCAACTCTGGTCTTATTTAGACAAGGCCATAGTCAAAGTGGAAGTTCTCTCCTCCCTTTGGAGAAAGGTACCTCCTTTGATGGCCTGTTCTTTCCGCTGGGATCTCACTCACAGGGCTCTTTCATTTAGGAATTTTTTTTCTTTTTTTCTTTTTTTTTTTTTTTGCCACAGTGTCCTGGCTTTCCATGCCTGAAATACTCTAATGAGCTTTTTAGCTGGATCCGAATGCCTTAAGGGCTGATTCTGAGGCCAGAGTGCTGTTTAGGACATCTGCCATTCTATGAGTGCTGTGTATCCTACTTCCCATGTTGGATCGTTCTCTCCTTTTTAATTCTATCAGTATTGGCAGACACTAGTCTTGTTTATGTGATCCCTTTGACTCTTAATCCTATCATTATGATCAATTATGAATTTAAACTGATCACCTGAACTAGTGATATGGCATTGGTACATGCCACCTCGATGGGATTGAACTGGAATCCCCTGGCACATTTCTAGCTCTACCATTAGGGGTAAGTGTGTGTGTGTGTGTTTTGGATGTGTGCACGGTGTGTGTGCATGTGTTTGGGATGTGTGCACAGTGTGTGTGTTTTGGATGTGTGCACAGTGTGTGTGTGTTTTGGATGTGTGCACAGTGTGTGTGTTTGGGATGTGTGCACAGTGTGTGTGTGTGTTTGGGATGTGTGCACAGTGTGTGTGTGTGTTTTGGATGGGTGCACAGTGTGTGTGTTTTGGATGTGTGCACAGTGTGTGTGTGTTTGGGATCTGTATACAGTGTGTGTGTGTGTTTGGGATGTGCGCCCAGTGTGTGTGCGTGTTTTGGATTCTCTCATGGAATTTACAGCTGAAAGATGTCGAAAATAAGGTCCTTCTAAAACAAAAATCTGCCTATTTACTGGGTCACTTTTGTGCGTTGGAGTTGCCCTTGCTCCATCAAGTGCTGCTGACCGCCTGGGTGTGACTTAGCCGAAGGGCACAGCTGCTGCTGGGGACGAGAGACCACTCTGCAGAGCCACTCTGCCCTGGGCTCTGTGGGTCTCCCCGCTAGGTGGAAAGGCCGTCAGTCCACACGGCTTTTGGACAGGGAAAGTGTCCCCACTGTTCTTTCCTTCTCCGCCAGTTTCCAGGCTGTCCTTGGATATTTGGTTTGGATATGAATTTTAGGGCTGTCGGCTGGGTGCACAGCACCACGGCTGCGCCGGCTGCGTTTGTGCTGGTCTTGCCGGCGTTCCCCCTGTGCCCAGCCTTCTCTGCCCCGACAAGGTGTACTTCCATACAGGGCTTTTATGTCACCTAGTTTATACTGGTGGTTCTGAACAATTTTTGTTCATTTTATCCTGAATTATGCATTCTTATTTGCTCTTATGAAAGCAATTTTCTCCCATTATGTCGTCTAATTGATTAGAATGACTTTTCCTATGCATTTCACTCAAATTAACTGTACGAGTTGTTATGTATGTGATCACTTGCAGAGAATGATTTTGTTGATTATAAACTTTCTTTTCTACGTTTGCCATCACACTGCACTGGGAAAATCTTGCAGAGCCACTGGAAATCAGTCCCAGCAATAACCCTTGTCTTTGCCTTCAACCTGATTTTAACAGGAGTGAAGCCAGTCTTTTTGCATCACTGCAATGTCATCGTCTACAATGATGCTGACGTCTGTCTGGTCCACGTGGAGAGGGGGAGGCAGTTCAATAAGTCACAGCGCTTGCACGTCCAGGGTGATCCTTACTTACCATGAAGGTGGCCTGACCGCGTGGTGACCACGTGAGAGCGTGCCGCCCTTTGCTGCCCCCGGAGCCACCACTGTCGCACACTCAGACACGGGAAGCTGGGTGCCGGCTCTGGAGGTGGAGGTCTCCTCCCTGAGACCTCTGCCCATGCAGTGGTGTTTGGCAGCTGCAGAGAGCTGTGCAGGAGCCACAGAGCTGAGGCGTGGTCTCTGGTCTGCCCGCATTCAGCTCCCCTCAGTTGCACGCCCCGGCGTCTTTGGGCTAACAGCACAGGGAGGCCTCTGACATTCAGTTTCCACAGAGTGCGTTTTTGTTTTTCTTTTTTTTTTTTCCTAGATGTTTTGGTTCATCTGAATTTTAATTAAGGCAGCGAGAATGCTTGGATTATTTTCTTTCTGAAGTTATTTTCCAGATAAATACCGGGCCTACTTTAGGCGTAAAACTTGGGTTTTGAGGCACACGCCTTGTATGCGAGCGTACTCCAATGGTTACTGCCGAGGGACACACCGGCAAGCTCATCATCTCACATGGAATTGGAAAAATACAAAAGTCTTGAATGTCTGGGTTTCAGAATTGCAGAAAGGGATTGTGGGTGTGTTAACGTTTCTGAGACAGGCAAGGCATCCCCGGTTTCTCAGCCATGGAGTCTTCTTAAGCCCTGGGCTGGGCGATGGAAGCAGGGCTGAGCTGGACCCCTGTCTTCCCCGCGCAGTGCTCTGAGAGCCCCTGGAGACCCTACGTGCTGGTGCCGCGTCCTCCATGAGGCACCGTGTGCAGGATCGAGGCCCCCCCCCCAGGTGGACACCGTGCTGGATGCGGGGGAGGCAGCACCGCCCCTGCCCTTCCATCCACAGGCAGCCGCACGACCTGCCGGGAAGTGCCTGTGACTGCCCACGGTGAGCCTTCTCAGGCACTTGTTAGATTGCTTTGCTCTTCTTAATGCAATTTTTCAGCAACTCAACATATTTGTCCTTGAGCAATTTGGACACCGGTCCATGTTTGTAAAGAAAATATTCCCGGAAGAGTCTCTGGAGAGAGACGGAGTGTGCGGCCATTTCGGGATGGAGCAGGCGGCGGCCATCAAGGCCTCGTGCGTTTCCTGCCCTGTCACCTGTGCAGTGCATTGCATGCCACTTTCCATGTTGGTAAGCAGGTCGCTCCTCGGCTTAAAAATGAGGCCCAAGCTCCCCAGCTTCTTGGTCGAACCAATAAAGCTGGCAACAATAAAAAGAAACAATGCATAATGTTCATTATACTGCCGTGTGGGGAGTTTGTTTAAGACTTGGGCCCTAAATGGTTTTTAATCCCAGGACGACCTGATTGTGATAACGGGAGAGCGGCAGGCCAGCCGTCCGTTATAAAATCATTGCAAATACGAGCAGAATAAAAAATGGTTAAAGGGATCTTGTTACAGATTCTGTTTATTCCGTGAGGATTTGAGGCAAGCAAATAGGCAATGATTCTGTTTGGGACTTGTTCTTGAAAGATTACCTTTTATGTAGGTGAGTCAAAAGGTTAAAGAAGTAAACAGAATTTAAATACAGCCAGTTTTCGTAATTTTTCTATTGTTTGACTTAACTCCTTCCTAACGTAATAAAAAAAAGAAAAAAAAAAAAACGCAGCCTGCAGGACCTGGCCAAGGATAAAGAATCCTTAAGATGGAAAAGCTGTGAAATCTTGCTAGGGCTTATCTATAAAATATCATTTTGATTTTGAGTCTAGAAAAGTGCTTTGCTTCTCAAATGACCATAAATCTCCAGAAGTCCAATAGTGACTTCGGCCAGCTCGTGCCTGAGCGAACGGCATTGCCACGTTATGAGGCCCTGATTAAGGCATCGGGGAGAGGGTGAGGGTGGTCCTGGACTTGATTTTGGCACCGTGCAGAGCTCAATGCTGCCGCAATTATTGGTTTTCTGAAATATGTTGCTATGCATTATTCTGATCAGATTACTTCCCTTGCACAATTCTCTGGTGAGGACGAGGACAATAGCACAAAATAAATCTCTCTCTGAAATTTAATCTCCGTGTCTGTACCCTGTTAAGGACAACAGCTCCGGTTCTCTGATAAGGAGCCGGAGATCTTCCCTAACGGAGGGCTTTTGTGTTTTAATTATCTGTACTGGAAATTCACAAACAGGCAAATGATGACATCGCTGATGGTTATGTAAGGGACAGGGTGTCGAAACACAGCTCTTGTTCCCACAAGCCACCGGTGGCGAAATCCTAATTCCTTTTATAAAAAATTCTACGGTTG